ACTGAGGTCTCACCCACTGCCCCAGTGCTGTTCCTCGGGCGGAAGAGCACAGCAAAGGGTCTCACGTTGCACTGGGCTGCCCTGTCTCTTCCGGTCCCCTTGCTTCCCGACAGTTGCTCAGACTTTTCCTTGACCTTCATGGCCTTGATATTTTTGAAGGGCATGGACCACTTACTTTGTAGAATGCCACTTCATCAGGAGTTTCTTTTATGTTTCTGCACGACGGGATTCAGATGATGCATCAGGAGTATCACAGAAGAAAGGACGTTCTGCGCCCTGCATCCTGCCTACTGGCGCACGATCTCTGTTTGCCTCCTCCCTGGGGGTGTTTACTTTGATCACCTAATTAAGGTGACATCTGCCACGCTGCTCCGCGGCAGAGACACTTGGTGGGGGCGACACTCCGTACTCTGTAAATATCCACTCCACTCCGTACTCTGTAAATATCCACTCCTTGTCAAGCTTTCAGCGTCTTCAGACCTTTATTTGTGTCTGTATGAATTCATGGATTCCTGTTTTACTCAGTGGGTTGAACTCATCAACTTATCGGACACTCAGGTTGTCCCAGATTTGGCCAGTGGGGACCACACCCAGAAGGCTTTTTTTTTTTTTTTTAAGATATTATGTATTTATTTGAGAGAGAGAGAGGGTGCGCACAAGCAGTGGGAGAGGGAGAAGCAGACTCCCTGATGAGCAGGGACCCCGATGCGGGGCTCCATCCCAGGACCTGATACCCTGACCAGAAGCTGAAAGGACTGAGCCACCCAGATGACCCCACCCCCACCCCCCCAAAGCAGGCTTTTTGTTTATCACCTTGACTTTTCTCCATCAGTCTTTGATACTTTGTTGCTTTCTGACCCAGTAAGCTGTTCCCAGATCATCTTGTCCCTCCTCTGCCCTAGTCCTGGAGTTAGCCACCTCTCCAAGGAGACTTGGTTTTTTCTCAGGATCGGTGGTGGGGTTTTTTTTTTTTTTTTTTTTTTTTTTTTTTTTTGTTTAAAAAGGTAAAGAATGATATTAAACGACCAGGATATTACAGGAGTAAGCTCACTGCTGTGAGCAGGAACATTTGTGTGTGTGTGTTTGTGTATACACACATAAGTGTGTGTTTACACACACATACATATAAAAACA